TTATTTTACAATTTTACTGAACTGAAGAAAATTCGTTTCGCAATATTACAATACAAATATTGTTACTTTGTACAACAAATTACACCAACTTCAAATACCGACAGACACCTAGACAGATATACCTTTTTTGGGTCTTATCAATGTCGGGCAATTTGGTGTATTGGAACACACCAAAAACGAAAGACACCTGAGCTTATATACTTTCCACCTAAGTCAACCGAGGCGAGATGTAAGAACATCACGTGATTGCCGCAATCGGTACATACTAAGCATTTTACATAACATTATAGCAAATCAAATTACAAACAACGTTTTTTAATCTGAGATGATTTTTATTAGAAACTTTTAAACTGTTTGGTAAAATTACAATGCATATACATATATATTGTAAAATTACAACTTATTTTAGTAGATTTCCCAACATGTCTTGGAAGATTACTCAAATTGTATTATAAATTTGTATTGTTATACACTGATTTGTAATTTTACTCATCCTTTGTTTTGCAAAACAATTGTAATTTCACAAAAAATTTGAACAGTGTACATGATTAAAATGATATATAGTAAAAATGCAAACAGAAGTTGTATAAAATAAATAATGATTTGTATATTTCCAAACATTGAAACAAAACGAAATACACATGTTTCCTCGAGAAACTTTTTTAATTGCCTGGGGATGTAAACGATGCGAATACTTAAGGCAACAATACGAAGAACTTTAACCATAATGCGAATTAACGTTTTGCATTAAATATTTGAAAATCTTGACGAAAGTTTGACCACACGTTGCATTTTGTTGTATCTTCTCTGCGTGTCGAGAAAGTTCGCTAAAACGCTCATAAAGTTTGTTTAATCCAATCTGCGTTAATTACACCGGGAAGAATGGCGGCACGTTACCTTAGAAAACTGACGGATAGGGGAAATAATTTGTCATAATTTAACATTTTGATTATTATCATTATTTGATAAGGGACTTTCTTTCATCCCGATGACATGGAAACACTGTATTTTTGGACAAATGCAGTGAAAAAATAATCAGCAAACAAGTGACAGCTCCCTTACTGAAAGTTAAACACCTGTAAATATTTATAAAGTTGGGGAATTGAACAATGGGTCACTTAGAACGTGTCCAAATCAAATATTAAATAAATCGCTTATGTCCGACTGTGCCTCTCTGCAAAACAAGTATGTCACAAACCATTCGCCAGAAATGACACGTTTATTATTTATTTTCACACTCGAGTTAAAATTTTTAGAGTGGAATTATTCGAATTCGAATTTCTAGAAACAAATAAAATCGCGTACGTAAAATAAACAATTTACGCGGTTAGTTTTAGGACTAGCTCGTATCCCGGGCATATTAAAATTGCTATCAACAATAATAACTTCCGCTTATGAAGTTTAAAGTTGCTGTAAACTTCCGCATAAATAATTTAATCCGGACACATAATATAATAAAACTCATACACTAAACTGTTTTAATCGCCCGGATTAGGACCAGGCCGCATATTTTGTTTAAGTTTAACATTCATTACAAGTATTTATATATATATACGTAAGTACCTATAAAGTGTGTTTATATTCATCTAAGTTAGCAGGTTGTGTTTTAAGAAACATGTTTTTTAGATGTTCTTATAGAAAAAAGTCCAGAGGTGTTAGATCTGGTGATCTTGCTGGCCATTCTATGAAACCTCTTCTAGCGATCCACCTGTGTGGAAAGGTGTCATTTAAGTTAAATGACACCTTTCCTTAAATGATTTAACTAATTCAATAAGTGTCGCATTTTTTACTAAAATAGCACAAGGTTGCATTGATTAAAACAAACTAAACTAGTTATAAATGTAATTATAATGTAATCGTTAAATTTCGCGGGTTCGGAGGGTCCGGTTGTCATAAAATTTTCATTATTATGTTGGTATATATGCCCCCGAAGTACTTTAGCTGTTTTCATTGTTTACTTTGTCTGTGGCAGCCGCTAAGGTTAGACGTGTTTTATGAGCTCGGCGATTTTTCGTTCGTTAAAAGAAATGGATCAAAAAATTTGTATCCAATTTTGCTTAAAAATGAAATAAATTCTGTGAAATGTTAACAAAGGCCTATAGTGAGTCTGCTCAGAGGCGGATTATCCATAAGGCAAACTAGGCACGTGCCTAGGGGCGCGAGGTTACAAAGGGGCGCGCGCACTTAAAGTTCTTAAGCAAAGAAAATAATTAACATAAAATTAAACATAACTGTAACATAAAGATAACTGTAACATAAAGATTAGTTAATTCTATAAGGATGTAAAGCTTCCAAAGTGTGTTCCGCCTTCTTGATTATTCTTGATTATTCCTACATCGTCACACGGGTGTGTGTGTGTTCTTCGGGCAAAAAACTACTGAACCGATTGTGATGAAACCTGGTATGTATATAGCTGAAGACCGAGATTTAGACATTTATCCCAAAATTTCCACGGGATGTGGCATCACGCGGGTGAAACCGCGGGGCGCAGCTAATTACACTGTAGGTAAATTTTTAACTTTTGAAATCACAGCTAAACGCTCGGACATGTAAACATAATTTTTGGTAGTAGATTCCAAATCTGTGCTCGGTTTAGCTGTATCAGGTCTAAAAAAGTTTTTCCTGTCGGAAATCCGATCCGTGGACACACTGCCCTGGCTAAAATAAAGCGTGCATGAAAAGTGTGCAATAAGTGTGTATTTGGAGTACAAATCTTTATAACAATGTGCATTCACGCTTCTTTGTGGTAATTTCACACTTTTTGAAATAATTAAGTTTTTTACTCTTTATATACATTGACATCACGCTTTTTATTTGTCATATGTCACGCTTATATTACATTATATTTTAGCACATTGTTTGCACAGTGTTATTAGGTACATTGTTTAAAGACATTTTGCAAAGCTTCAGTCTATCTTACGTATGTCACATTTTATACACACTGTAACCACGCTTTAATATTTCTCATTTATGACGCTTATATTACACCTTTTGTTTGTACAGTTTTAGCGATCACTCAACAGTTTAATCACATTTTAGATATATCTCGCTTGTGTTGGGGTACAACATTTATTTAAAACGTGAGGTAGATTCCATCTTATGTATCGCTTCTCGGCCTATTGCCAAGATCAAAGCAATCCCCGTCGTGGAGTTGACAGTGCAGGTATTTTTCTTAATAAAATACAGTATGTAAGGACCTACATTGTGGGTATTTTTTTTTTAAATTTTTTTGAAAAAAAATATTTGTTTGATTAATATTATTATAAGGATATTTATATTTTAATTGTGTGTAAATTTAAAAGACTTTATAGGTCACCAAAAAGAATCTGTTTTTGTAATACAGGTGGCAAGAAACAGTGTGCAAACAATGTGAAAAATCAAAAGGAGTTCCCTTTAGAAAATTGTCCAGTGATTATTCACACTTTTAAATTTTTGGTTTTGCACATTGTTTCATGTTCCATTTCCCACCCTCCGCACATTGTTCTCAAATAATTTTGCACACTTTTTGCACATTTCATTTTCGCCAGGGTGTATACTGGTATATTATAATTTGTAAAATATTATATATCAACTCTTGTGCCAACATTCTTATGCTTTTTATTCAAAATAATATAATATCCTCAATTATACTCAATAAAAAAAATAGCAAAAGAAATTTGGAATTTCCTAAATTATCTATAAAAAACGCTCAGGAACAAGTGTTCCTTTGATCAATTAACTTCAAACTTTGCAAGAGTTTTTTTTAATTTGGAACTGATGTGTGGGTCCAGCTAAATTTTTTTTTTTTAATCTATACAGGGTGTTTAAATTTATACAGGGTGTTTCCAATATCTTTGAATTTTGACCTACAGCTAAACCAAGCATGGATTTGTAATCTACGACCAAAAATTAAGTTTACGTGTCCGAGCGTTTAGCTGTGAAATTTTTACCTCCCTACAGTGTTATTACATATATAAATAATAGTTAACATATATGCCCGCTAGAGGGGCGCCGATGAGGTGCTTGCCTAGGCGCTCTCGACATTTAATCCGCCTCTGAGTCTGCTATAAGTAAAACAAGAGTTTACAAGTGGTATAAGAGTTTCCAAGATGGCCGTGAAGACGTTGAAGATGACGAACGCCCCGAACGCACAAGCGCATTAACAACCGATAAAAACATGGAAAAAGTGGAATAAATGGTTACTAACCATCAGAGAAGTCGCTGATGATGTTGGTATATCGATTGGCTCATCCCATGAAATTTTTTCGAATGTTTTGGGTATGAAACGCGTGGAAGCAAAATTTGTTCCAAAATTGTTAAATCTTGAACAAAATTTTTGGCCAAAAACAATACTGTAATAATGCCCCAGCCTCCATATTCGCCAGACATGCGTCTGTCTGACTTTTTCCCATTCCCAAAAATAAAGAGAACCTTAAAGGGCCGTCGTTTTGCAAGCATAGATGACATTAAAAGCGCATCGCTGAAAGAACTAAAGGCTATCCCAAAGATCGAGTTTTAGAAGTGTTTCGAGAATTGGAAGAAGAGCTGGCACATGTGCATAATATCCAATAAGGACTATTTTGAAGGCGACAACATTAATGTAGACGAATAAATAAATATTTGTTTCAAAAAAAAAAAAAAGGTTGAACCCAACAGCAAAAAAATTTTATTTTTTGTTTTTTATTTCCCCTTATTTTTTTAAATTTCAAAAAATTTTGATATGCTTAGCTGACAATATAGTGTGATTTAATATTTGTAAAACCAAAAACGTTACTTTTTTCCTCGAAATAGTTTTTTTCACAGTTAAAGTTAATTTTATTTGACATCTGACAACTGCTAAGCCTTTTAACCTCACTGTTTTCCAATTTATTGCACTATAGTAACTTAATAAACCAGTGTAGTAGAAGATAAAAGAAATAACAATTTTCAACCATATCCAATAGAAAAATTCAATGTAATATTTTCTTATAACAAATATAAAAATATTGCATTTTTCTAACTAAGCAATAAAGTTTTCTTACCTGCAACTTCGACCACTGAATCCTACCAATACATCTCACCGAATTTCTCCAAGCCAACTTGGCACCGTAAATTAACTCGGTCTCGGTAAGCTGGTAAGACCCCGTACTGTTGATTTCCTTTTGCACTTGTTCCCATCTCGCAGTATGAGCGGGACTCTGGGATCTGAAACAACACAAAAAAAGAAGATAATAGTGTATACTTTTATTCCATGGGATTTTATTTGTTTAACGATATGTATCGTATATTAAACGTGATACATTTAAAAATTAGTAGCATATACAATAAAGTTTAATTTATTTTTGACAATTAATACGAATATATTCTTCTGTTCTGTTCCAGAACAGAAAGTTATGCGAAACACATACTTAAAAATTAAAATTATCTAACGCGAAGGATAAGCGAGATAAGAATAAAAAACGATAGCCAATCCCAATACATGACCACAGGGAATACTTTAAATTGCTAGGATACTTAGGACACATTGCCTGATTATGCAGAAAAGATTATTATTCGCCAGGGGACTGTAAAGTTGTTCTGCGTTGTAACGAAATTGAAGGTGCTCCTTAACGCATTAGAACAGCGAAAAATAAAGATTTTTTTAATGCCTTTGATGCAAATAGTAGGAAAAGCATAAGGAAAGTTGCGCGAGTTCTGGTACACCCTGTATACATCTCTTAGCCGAAAAAACGCAATAACCAAGGCATTTACACTAAACAAAAAAAAAGTGAAAATCGCTCGAGTGCTTTGCATACACAGCCAATTTTATTATTGAAGTCAGATTTTCTTTTCAACGCTTGTGTATACACACGCGTTTCCCTGGGGTGGAAAAAGTCTCCGGGGGGTATTTTCGCCCACTCTTCATCGAGTCTTTTATGTTTGCATCGGGACAGAAGCAAAGGCCACACAATTACTTGCATTGTCAATATGTAAATCGCATCGAAATCCGTGCGACGGTTATTCGATTCGTTATTTGATTTGTGAATTTCTTTTACCTACAGTTTTTATTGTGATTTACAAAGTTATACATATTGATTATTTAATTTAAGTTTTTAAAATGTCCTATATATAGGCCTATAGCCCTACTAAACCATTATAAAAAAAACAAAGAAAATATAAAAGCAATCTTAACCCAAATTGCATTAATTTGTTTTTTAAAACTTTAAAATAAATATCTGGAACTTAAAAATATATTTATATGAATGGATAAAAATATACACATATAAAACATTCAAACCAATAATTTTCTTCAGTGGTAAAAAATTATCTCGAAAAAAAAATAAATTAGGACGGTTATCCATTTCAGCCACACTTCAGGCATAAAATGATTGTGCAAAGATGTAAAAACAATAAAAATTATTTTTACATTTAGAAGTTAATTCAGCTCTTGGCAGTGTGGAAATTAGAATGCATGAATAAATATGTTGTTGATACAAAATAAAAAGTTTCTCCATGTGAAAACTCCCTATTTTCCTTTATAATCCAGTTATATCGAGTTGAGCAGTATTCGGTAATCTAATATTTTTTGTTTTGCATTCCTTACCTTTCCGTTTTATTTTTTATTTCCAAGTATTGAAAAAGCGTAAAAATCACAAAAACGTTTTTTAAATTAAGACAGAATTTGTTTGCCTTTCGTTTGCATGAATTTTAATATTTCTTATTTAACATTTAATAATAAATATTAAATTTTTACATAAAGTACCTACCTTCTTTTTTGATTATGAAATGTTAAAGTTAATAAAAGTTTTTAGAGTTTTATACATGTATTAAAGGAATGTGCTGGAAATTAGATTCTTAGCTTCTTAGATTTCTTCTTAGATATCTACGAACATAATTGCATACCTAAAACTCATTACAAAAAAGATATTTTAGAACTTTTTCAAAATTGCCTGCAAATGTTTTTTAATTATTTTTTATTATTAATTTTATTACATTGATTTAATAATTTTTGAATTGATTTTATAATTATTTTTAATTTAACGATTATACCATTCTGTAATAATTTTTTTATAAAAATATCACTTTTTTGGTAATAATTATCTTATTAAATTAAATCTGATTTTTTTAAGTACCCACGATTTTTAATATTTAAAGTTTCTTTTGGTTTAAGTTTTATAGATTATTTCATTCGGTGATAATTATCAATTGCGCACCATGGTCACTTTTTATCTGTCAGCATTAAATCCTTTAATTTAAAGGATTATTGTACTCTTTTTGATAAAAATACTTCATTTAAGGTAAAAAAACATTATTTTGCCAATTAATTAATTTAATCCTAATTAAGGTATACACATTTTTTATTTAGTTATAAATAATAATTATTATTGAGGTAAAAAAAAGCTATTTATACATAGTTTAGCATTATTTAATCAATTTAGTTCGAAGATTAGTTTTTTCATAATGGATTTTTGAACAGTGGAAGAAAAAATAGAAATGATTTTGATTTATGGAGAAGCAGGCGGGAATCTTGATGATGCTGTTAATATCTACGCTCAGCGTTTTCCGGAAAAAAAATCGATCACGTACTTCATTTCACCGTACAGTCAAACAGTTTACTACAAACAGGAGTGTTCAACCGAAAAAAATTGTTCGTCGAGCAAATATTTAATATTGTTATCTTGAGCACCTACTTTAAAAAATAAAACCAAGTATTTTATTAAAAAATTATTGGAGAATCGTATACAGAAGAAAAATCGAACAAAATTGATTTTTTTTCATTATCTATCTGTTGTTTTTTGGTGAAAACCCCAAATAAAAATGTAATGTTGTAGTTTTAATAAATACCAAGGAAACATACATATTAAAGAATATAGGCCATAAATAAATGTCAAACGGCGTATGCAACCCAACAGACACATAATATATGTGTTTCTTGGACCTGATATTCCTCGATGACCCATAAGGTTGCGGCGTTGCATGGGCGTCGCCAACGTCGATTTGTCGAAGGTGATTCCGAAAAAGGGATAAGAGAGATGTTGAAGAGACGCATTGGGACAACCACTCGTCCCGTTAGCACAGTGCCAAAGGGCTTTCCTTTCATAGGCAAATGCATTTTTTTCGTTTTTCGGTAAGTCACACGATTTTTGGTCATCAGTCACTTTGTGCAAAACTTAAAACTCAAAACTAACTTCAGCCCGTGACTAAAATCCTGTTGCTAACTTCAGCCCGTGACTAAAGAGCCATAATGAGAGGTGGAAGTAGAAAATAGTTATTTATGTGATTAGGTTAAGAAGTAAGGCTTTTTGTGCTAAGCTCAAGGTTTACAATTGAGCGAAGCACAAAAAGGCACTTCTTGGCCGAATGGCATACAATATTTTATCTTCAAAGCACTTTATATAGGTCAAGTTAATTCAACATCAAAGCGGCCTAACCTCACTTTTTTAGAATCTCATTTATTTATTAGCTAAAGATTACATTAAATGTACAATAATCATTATTGCTTTTAGAAGCAGTAATAGTTTGACAATACCTAGCTACATGATTTAAGTAGAAATGGATTTTTGCTATTACATTGAATTCAATTAATTGTTTAATAAATAGGTAGGTATCTAATTTCAATTTGTTTGGATTTATATTAAAAAAATAGATAGTTTGGAATGTTTAAGCTGTGTTTAACATTTAATTTCACTGAAAACTTAAAGCAAATTAAAACTTAAAGATAATTTAAATCGTAGAAAAAGAATCGTGCGTTTTCTTGGTTGCCTAACATCACTTTTTGTTTTAATATTCATATTTAATTTTACAATAATTTAATGAAAAATATTAAACATTAACAGTAAAACAAACGAATTAGTGCTTATTATAAATAAATTAAACCAGTTTAGTACGTTAATTTCTTAGAAAAGGATTAATTTGTCAAAACAATACCCCTAGCGAGAAAAAACTAATTACTTGCCTCATAAAATTTTTTATCGGCCTAGACCATAACAAGGTATTTATTTATAGAATGTTGACAACAATAAAGTTTAAATTATAGACCGCGTGAAGATAAAATATTTTTTTTTAATTAAACTTAGCAAAGGAGCACATTTAAAAGAAAATTATGACGAAAATAAATCTAGAGATGTAATTAACGCGTAGGTAGGCAATTAGGGCCTTTGAGTTAACAAAGCTGTAAAGAATATTTAGTATAATTACGGTAGGTAATTAACAGACTGAAAATTGCAATTAACCCGAATGCTTGATATTTTTATTTGACGTGATTTTTCGGAGCGGAAAGTTGTTCAGCGCACTGTGCGCGATTTGCATTTTCTTTTATATGGGATGACCGGGGTGATTTTTCAGGGATGTCTCGGGATTTTTATCGTCTCACCTGGTTAAACTTTGAGCAGGAAACAACGATTGCCTTTGAATTTATTGTTTCTCCCCAATCGAATTACACTATTTTGTTAAGATATATCGCGTTACATATAATGGGACTTAAGCTCTAATATGTTTGAAGAAATTTGTTTTAACCCTTGCCAAAACTTGTAGTGTTACATCCCTCAAACTTTTACAAGAGTGCCTCCGGTAATGTTAAGATGTTTATGTATCCAGTCAGCGTTTACCATTAAACACTAAGTATATGTTATAATTAATAATTCAACAACTATTAATAAAACACTGCAATTTGTCTCAAGCAAAAAAAATATTAAACAAAATAAAGTTGACATTCTTAAAACAGCTATACCATTTTTGGGAAGCCAAATAAATAATTAGATGTATCTTTCAAACGATACCATACTAAAATTCAGATTAATTCATTGCTTAGTTTTAAATTGACACTCATTTGTATGTAATGTGTTTTAAATAAATTTTGCGGATTTTGCTTGAAAAGGCCAAAATACTGCTTCAAAATTTACATTACTATCCGATTGTTGTCTACCAATAAATAAAAATCGAACAGATTTTATCCAAATCAAAACTAATCAATGAATCAATCTGAAATACGCTAAAGAAGTATCGCTAGTAGCGCCACCACTCGGCTGTTATCATCGTAACAAAAGTACGAATTTCCGAAAAAGTCAAACCCTTATGTTACAAACGAGTGTTTTTGAGAATAAAGCCCGAAAATGTTAAAAAATATCGGAAAAAACCGTCAATTTGTTGTGTTGTTGGGTGTATTTCGAGAGGAAATCCTGGGTTGAGTTTTTACCGGTTTTCCAATAAACAGTGTTAACCTGAATGAAAAAATAAATTGCATACAGTCTTTGTAAATATAAATTGTACCTATTAGATACAATAAATATACATTTTAGTAGTGATTAACGTGAAAAGTGTTAACATTTCAATTCAGTAAAAATCGTCAAACAAATAAGTCGTCTAAATTTAAACAGCATTTAGCATTATTAAAAGCGTTGATTAAGAAAGTCTCCAATCAACGGTAAAATACCATTGCCGGTTTAAAAAAAAATAACATATTTTTGTCCCTATTTAAGAAGTATAATAAATACTTTTTAATAAATTGGATGTAAATTGTATGAAAAAAGCATTTAACAATAATAAACTCACAAAATGATGATATTTTAGATTTTATAATGGCAATTTTATAAAAGAAACAATTTGGCAACATCGTATTTTGATCACGATTATAGCCAAAAGATTTTTATGGTAGACATATAAATATGTAGATGGTTATTATAATTATCAATTTTGTTTGTTTTCTGTTGTATACCAATTGTTTTGGCATTGTTTTTTTCCATTATTTTTTTCCATTGTTTTAACGAGATTTTAGTGGATTTTACATAATATGCATATTATGCCACTTTTTGCTTTTTATAAAGCCAAATCACAAAAATGTTTGTAAGCTTAACCCAGAGTATGGAATCAAATAATTTAGAAAAATTTTATATAACCTAAATTTTGTTTAGTTGAAAATTCGTATCATAAATATTAATTTCTCTATCTAATGTTATGTGATATCTATGGTATCATATATTTTAAATCCCCCACTTATGAACTGACTATGCGCATAAAGAAAAATGGCACACTACGAGAACAAATTTCCCCTTAGAAACGGGAGCAAGGTCATCTATAGAAAATATAGGCAATAAGCGGTATATGTGTGGAAGTATATGGTAGCGTACTGGGTATCACGCCATCTGTCTTCAAACATGGGTACTTATTGATCCACCCTCGTACTACTGGGTAGGTAGGTAGGTCGTATAGCGACTGTAATAATTCTGAATCGAGTGTCTCTGGTTCTGAATCGGTTAAGTGGTTGGTTGGTGTATCAAGAAGCGATTCGTCTTCTGTTCCCTTTGTTGTTGGTAGCATTGTCGCACCCGTATTCCTTGATATTAGTAGTGGCTGGCGAGTGCCTTAAGTGCCATTTGGCCGTTTTGGCTTTTGATAACTGATATGGCACATTCTTTCACACTTAAAGTTTCCGTTTCAAATTGTGAAAATTTTTATTGAATCACTTAATAAAATTAACCGAAATTAAGTAAAATCATTTAAAATTTTATTACAAAAAAATGTTGTTCACTAAACAACAAAATTTAAAAATACAGCATATCAATATTTAATAAAAACTTATATTCTTATGAATATTACCAGTGATGGGTCAAGAAAGTTTCTTAAAGAAACTAAGGAAATTGAATGTTTAACTTTACCAAGATTTTTAATTATAAAATTAAATGGCAAGCTTTGATTAAAAAAGTTGAGTTAATTAAAACTATGCATGTTAATTTATGCTAGAATCTAAAGAGTTACTTATTAACTGCCTTATTTTATATGTACATGCAAACAATGTTATAATTTTTACTAAGTAAAAATATTTGGGTGAATCTCATGAAATTGCGTTTTGATCTTTTATAATTAAGTAGATATTACATTTTTAACCGCAATTAATTATTTTTTACAATGTTTTAAAAGTCTAAAACCTATCCTCCGTGACTGTTACTTTCAAATATCTGAGGTAGTAAAGCATACTAAAAATATCAGTTCAAAAAGTAAATTAAACACATCCAAAGCAATCGAATCAAATATAAAATATTATTAAAAATTAAAAGAAATAATTTTTATAGCCATTTACGTAGGTGTCACAAAAATCGATTCTATCCTCCGTGAATCTGTTTTTGCTTTAAATTTTATGCAACGGATGGCGCTTTAATCATTTTAAATAAGCAAAAACCTCTGTTTACGACATTATAGATGCATGTGATTCCTGAAGGTCAGTTAGAATTTATATGCAGATGAGAGTGTTGCTGTTTTATAATTCAAAAGTTTAAGTTCAATAATTTGCTGTTTAAAAACCTATCCACCGTGAAGTGTAATATCTCAGTAAGTAGATTTTTTTATAAACATTTCATGTATGTACAATTGTATTTTTAAAAAATATTAAGGTGTCAAAATATACAATAAAAAAAATAAAACAATATGTTAAAAACAGGATGCACCAACATTACTATTAATTTTAAATTCTATAAATAAATATCATATAATTTAGGTTTATAAAAGAATGAGTTGTTTGTATTTTTTGTTTTATTGGTATAAAATGATAAAATCAAGTACTCTATGATACTGTATAATATAAAAATATTTTGATTTGAAATAAGTGGTGCTTTTCTGCAGGTTAGGTGAAAAATATTATTGTTTTAAAAAAATCCATAAATATTTAAGAAACTAAATTTGATGCTATTAGTTCTGTAGGATAGTTTACAAATATTAATTTTGTTCAATTCTAAGCAACAGCTAAGTTCTTGAGACTTGAAGATTGCACTGTAAATTATATTGTTTAATTTTGTCGAGTCAATTTTTTTTAGCTTAACTTTTCGTTCCTGCATTGAATCCAAAATTAGTCTTATTAAGACAAGGATAGCATGCTATAAACAAGTGGCTTTGTTAGGCGAAATGCCCCACGGGCGCTTTTTAAAGACGTTGCTGCACTGTGGCGAAAAACAAGAATTTAGTCTGATAACTTCAAAAGTAAAAAACAATGTCATATTTATCAAAAATAAACTTGGTATGGACTTATAATACATATTACCACTTAAATCAATATTATTCAACCGTACTGGACTACTTTAAATGCATAGTTTTTTTTCGGGTAAAACTTTGTTTTTATGCACGGTGCTCCGTTCGTCAAAACCTTATGGAATCGTTTGGTGTGTCGTAGTCGGAGGCAAATCAGACAGTCGCAGTCAACAATAAAAATGTACAGATGTCTGTCAAGTCGTATCTGTGCCTAAAGGGCTGGGAATAAATTTATCATAAGTTTAAAACGTGACACTCCGTAAGAGGATTATCTTGTTATGAGGGAGTTGATTTAAGACCGTTTAAGTGAGGTTTAAAATATTAGTAAAACTAGAAATGTTTTACATAAATTTATTAGTTGTCAAAATGAAGAACTTTTGTTTTAGTCATTTGTTTCTTTTATATCCCGGCGCATTCGCCATTTTTACAACAAAATTAGAGATGCCATTTTATAAGTTTTTATTTTTTCATAATAATTTAGTACATCATTTTATAAGAAGCTCTGTCAAAGTTTATAAAACATTAACAGTATCCTTCTCTCAAGGGCATCCCCGATCATAGCCGATATAGGCAACCCGCAGCAATCTTTCAATATTAAATTAGCAATTGTTTGTATTAGGACTCGGGAGCAGTTTAAAAGCAAACTAATACGATACGTGGTCGGGTATTTATTTCCCACCGGACCTCCACTTATACCGTTACAAATTCGCCATGTATTGCCAACTTGTAAATTCAAAAAATACCAACTACTTAAGTTTAGTTTGGGTTAGTTTGTGAGCAAGGCAATTACATAAAGCTGTCCTTTCACGCCTAAACTGCCAAACCGATTTTGATGAAATTTGAAATGAAGATAGTTTGACATATTTTTATTTATATCTAGAAACTTACCTTCTTATCGATGTAAAATACTGATCCAGAAAATCCTTTGCATGTTTCAAAACGTCCTGAGGCGATCTGGGTTCGATTCGCCCAGGTTGACCCATCATACTGCCCAGACACACTTGAGATGTACATGGCGAAGTCTATAAAAAATGATATTAAGTTAAAAAAAATTATTATCCGAAATGGGCAGTAAAGTAGAACTTTACTGCCGATTTAATACGAGTATTTTATGCAACCCATAATACATTTTAAGATGTGTATACTGCTCCTCAGCAGCAACTAAATAATATTTTAAAAAAAGCACCGTCGCAGAGGTCGATTGGACCCTTTCATAAAATGTTGTTTAAAAAAATAATAAGTTAATTTTATTAATTGGATTAAAAAATCGCCGCGGCGGGCAAATATATCATAACCGTCGCAAAAAACAGTATACGTAGACACTTCCTACATTCAAATGACATTTGATTATTTTCGTCACATTTTTATTGTCAATATTTGTCAACGTCAACACAAGAAATATTTTCTACAAAAATGATATTTTCATAACCATAACTGATACAAAATTAAGACGAAAACATGCAAGCCTTATCATCTACACCGCAAATTGAAGCCGATAGACGGCTTTTAAACTTTAAGGACTACGAAGATTACCTCGACTCTTTAGTCACACCCATGGATAAATGTTACCTAAGAAGCACTATCGTATCGAGGAACATAGCTGAGCTAGGCTACAGGTAAACTTTAATATAAACATGATATAAAGCCGGAAAGAAAAAATCTGTTTTCCTAGACCAGATAACCGAAACACGGACTAAATTTTTAAGATAGGTAATTTTTCATTCTAGTAATCAATATTTAGATGAAGCAATTAATTAAAATCAATTACAAAATTACCTCACTCAAATTCATGTAAATCCAATGCACGGTCAAATAAAATGTTTAAAATTACCATGAAAATTACGAATTCTGTCATTGTTTATTTTTAAAATTTACCTCGTTATACCTATTTTGAATTCAAAATTACTGTAATAATAACCATGTTGTGTATTTGTATTTCGTTTGAATTAATGTTTATTAATTAATTATTATTATGGCTAATTTTAGTCAAATAAATATTTTTTTATATAAACTTTACTGTAACATTGTAAAACCTATAAACTTTTAAACATTTATTTCAATCATTATCAAGCTTCAAAAGTGATGATGGTAATTCTGTTTTTATGTCACCATTACAGGAGCTCTGGTTTGACCTTATCGAGAGAGCAGTTCAAAAAGCGAGTTGCAGCTGTTATAATGTTTTTGTCGCCCCCCTATAAACCATACGAACTGTGCAGCGAAGGCCTTAAGGGGGGAGACCCTATTATGACGGAACTTGCTTTAAGGGAACGACCAAACAGGGTCGGGATTTTATCGGTAAGACTACTATATTTAAAAAATTAAGTTTTGGGATTTATTATTTTCGAGATGTTTAAATCTTTTTTTACTTACTAAGGTCAAAGGTCAGGGTCAAAAGTCAAAGGTCAAATGTAAAATGAATTTTAACATTATATAAAAAGTCCCAAAACAAGTTAAATCTGTTATACATTTTCTTATCTTTTAGACAATTATTTTTCTACGAATGGTAACAAAAACAGGCAGAGAAATATCTGGTTACATAGATTACCATCATAGATTAACAACGACTGACTTTAAACCGTTCTTTAAAAGCGGCAAGAAGATTTATCCAAAACCTACGGATTTGGGTTTTTATCATTGGGGCAAAAAAGTTCTTGTAAATGATTCTCTGAACTACAAGGTAAAAGAGATCAAGTTTTACTTTTTTGTTGATTTTTTAATATTTGTTTTCTTAATTTTTAACGAATTTTTAAATATTTTCATTTTATTCTAAAACACGGTGTGTATTTTTTAAATAATTTTATTTTTTATTGCAAAACTTATATTTAAAGCCAAAACCTGTTTAACGTAACAAATAAACCCAATCAATCTTCTCTCCTATCTTTAATCTACAATTTCCAATTTGTTTTATCTGTTCCTCTTTAGCGGCCTCATTGATATATAGGGGCGGGGCGTTTTTTTTTTAAATTTCCGCACTCTAAACGCACACAAAAAATCATTTAATACCAAGGCACGAGTTAAAAAAATAGCCCGCTGTCGAATAAGTGGTTATAAAAGAGATTGTGCACGAAATTTATTAAAATTTTAATAATGTTTAAATTGGGCGTTTGATTGCATAATATATAAATTTTGGTTAGTATGCGTTATACTTTAAAAAATATTTAAAAATAACTTTAAAAAATTACTAAAAAGTTGTACAATAAACAGTTTTTTTTATTTGGTAGCTATGCCAGTTTGATTTAGTATTTTTAGTATTTTAGTAAATCACATAGTTATTGGACACTTAAGGAATATTATTTGTTTAAAATTTATATATGCCGTTGTTTTAAAGATTTTAGTTTCTTTCTTATAAATATATAAAAAGGATAGTTTGTTTAAACTTTATTTACGTTTACCTAAAAATAAGAATTTTTGAATTTTTTATAATAGTTTTAAAAAAACATGAAAAAAATATAGTAATTAGACATTTTATATAGTTTTTGGACATACAATTTTTATATAAACACAACAACTTAACATCAAATAACATAAATTGTTAAATATTTTTTAAAGATAAATTGCTGTTTTAGGTAATTTTTTTATTTAGTTTTTGTAAATATTATATAATTCTTTCTCGGATTCCTCATCCCTTTTCTGGATTCTGAAGGTAACTACTAATTCCTTGGTCTGACTTCTGAAATAGTTTGTTGCAAATATCATTGAGTGTGGTATCTCTAGTTTGTGAAGCATTTATAATGTTTAGGCCGGAACAGAATGATTTAAATATATATCTAATATTTTTTCGGGTGGTATGTTAAAAGTATTTTCCAAATTTATTAATTTTGTTGCCATTAGTTTTTTATGTTCTCTATCATGCACTGTATTTAAATCACTGTTATTCTGCAAGATGTCCTGTGACGAAGAAATCACTATATTACTTACTCTCTAAAAATTAATTAGTCAAAAATGTCATAGCGAAAAAGCAGCCACTAATAATTCTCGTCAACAGCAATTTGTATCCAGGACATTTAGCAGTCAATTCCTATGAAATATTATTCGCTGAATCCGAAAATGTCGTCAATTTTACATATAATATGGAATTAACTATATCTCAAAAACTGCTTAACTTTTATGGTTTTTGATGGTCTTTTCGGATTCAGGGGACAATTTTACATAAGAATTGGCTGGTAAATGCCTGGGATATAAATAGAGTATGATATTGGACATACGCCCAATAATAGTAATTTACATTTTTTACCAACCAGTAATTGGACACTGGCCATTTTACTGTTTGTTTTCAGAATTAAAATTAAAACGCAATAAAGTGATAATCTTTAAACCATGAGGAATACATTTATACCAGACACTTATTTAAATAAAACTACATAATTAGGTTTTTCTTATGTGTTTTATATTTATCTTCTAAATTAAGAAAATAAATATTATGAAAATAATACATTTTATGGTCCCCACTTTCTTATCAAAAAATAATAAATTTTTTACAACCTTTACATTTAATTTGTTTGTTAATTATTCCTCTTTCAATAAAATTTAGTGGTAATTTGGTGGAACGGTTTCTCTTAACATATTTTATATAATTGACATTGAAAATTAGGTAGTAATCCACGAAATTCGCTATCTTCCGATAGCGCTCGGCAATAGGAAGTTAAGACTTAAAGCGATGCAACATCGTGTGATTTACACACAAGATTCCGTTACGAGGAGTAGGCAACCGCAGATTTAAATTGATCCCGCAACTATTTCCGCTTTTTCAGCGAACAGGAAACCCGCGCTCACATCCTCAGATTAGGGATAATTTTACTGGGAAAGCGATAAAAACGATCGTATGGCCAATTTATCTGCAATTTTGTTTCAAAGAAGAGTCTCCCTTTGCATTAAACATTCAACATGTTTTTCAAATTAAATGTTTTTTTGACTTATCGACCTTCTTTTGTTTTAATATAATGCTCTTTATTCATTTCGATGAAGTTATGCCAAATTGACATTTTTGGAGTATAAAAGTAACGTTTTTGGTTTTACTAATATTAAAAAACACATTATTTTCAGCCAAGCAGATCAAACATTTTTGAAATTTTAAAAAATATTGGGTATATAAAAAACCAAAAAATATTTGAAAATAGCATCCATTTGGGTTGAAAAAGATAAGCAATCATCACGAAACTTTTTCTTCTTTTAATTCGCTTATCATTAATTGTTATAGTCCTGGAGAATATATATGTATTATAATTAATATTAAGTAATTACATTATAATTACATTTATAACTAGTTAAGTTTGTTTTAATCAATGCAACCAATTTTGGTTCCGTATTTACCAATCAAACCCCTAAATTTGCAACGTTGCCGCAGTCCAGATAGACTTATGAACTTTATATAAAAAACATTTAAATTTGCTAGGTACCTGTGCTTGCAAAAATGGCGAATGCGCCGGGATTAACAATTTTGATATGAGATATTTTTACAAATATTGTAATATTATGTAAATAATTCATTAACATGTTTAAAAATTTAATTAAAAAAGTCCAAATAAAACTCATAATTAGAGACCGGACTTTAAGGCAAAAAATATGTATTTAAAAAAATGAAAAGTACCAAAAAGGCATTATGTTTCCTATTTAAGGCAAGCATTTAGGCATTTTAGTCATATTTTTTAAAAATCAAAAAAAGGGAAAAAATTATGTTGGGTTAAATTGCACTAAAAATGTCCTAAACACATTTTGCATTAAGAATATTTAACAACCAAATTTGACGATGTGCATTCTGCATAAAATCATGTCTCTACCAATGATAAATAAAAACATCAAAATACGAGGTGTGTTCAGAAAATATCGGAAATTTTCGTTTTTTAAAACAAATATTTATTTATTTGTCTACATTAATGTTGTCGCCTTCAAAATGGTCCCCATTGGATTTTATGCACATGTGCCAGCTCTTCTTCCAATACTCGAAACACTTATAAAACTCGATCTTTAGGATAGCCTTTAGTTCTTTCAGCGATGCACTTTTAATGTCATCTATGCTTGCAAAACGACGGCCCTTTAAGGTTCTCTTTATGTTTGGGAATAGGAAAAAGTCAGACAGAGACATGTCTGGCGAATATGGAGGCTGGAGCATCATTACATTTTGTTCAAAATTTAACAATTTTAGAACAAATTTTGTGCCACGCGTTTCATACCCAAAACATTAGAAAAAAGTTCATGGGATAAGCCAATCGATATACCAACATCATCAGCGACTTCTCTGATGGTTTATAACCATTTATTCCACTTTTTACATGTTTTTATCGGTTGTTAATGTGCTTGTGCGTTCGTCATCTTCAACGTCTTTACGGCCATCTTGGAAACCCTTATACCACTTGTAAACTCTTGTTTTACTTATAGCAGACTCACTATAGGCCTTTGTTAACATTTCACAGAATTTATCACAAATTCTTTGATCCATTTCTTTTAACGAACAAAATATCGCCGGGCTCATAAAACACGTCTAACCTTAGCGGCTGCCACAGACAAAGTAAACAATGAAAACAGCTAAAGTTTGTATCATACTTCGGGGGCATGTATACCAACATAATAAAGAAAATTTTATGACAACCGGACCCTCCGAATCCTCGAAATTGAACAATTCCCGTTATTTTCTGAACACACCTCGTAGAACATTTTCAATTGATAAAAAGTCGTCCACGAACGTTTTTGTTTAATGAGCATAAAAAATTAACTTGACCGCTCTAACTTTTATTTGATGACGGTTTTTAGTGTCCGAAAACGATAAAAGGATCCGATGCAATACGAATTACACCCTTTTTTAAGCAGAACCGTATACAGAAAATAATTAAAATTAAAGTGGAAGTCCTAATCATAAAAACGACATTTTATTGTATCAATTAAATGTATTGATTTAAAAAAAATAGTTTATATATTTTTTTAAGAAACTGCTATGTAGGTTATTAATTATTAATTTAATTTATTTAACTCATTTATTTAGAAAAATAGTTAAATGCTATATATTCCTAAAGAAAAAGCAATGTTCTACTCTCTAAAAATGAATTAGTCAAAAATGACTAACTTAATAGTTATTAGTGGCTGCTTTTTCACTTATACCATGGTTAACCATGGGATACCATGGTATCCCCAACATTTAATAGACAATTCTTATGTAAAATTGTCCCTTGAATCCAAAAATACCCTTAAAAATTATGAAAGTAGGGCAGTTTTTGAGATAAAGTCAATTCCATATTATATGGAAAATTGACTATATCTCAAAAACTGTTCCACTCTTATAACTTTTGACGTCATTTTCGGAATCAGGGGACAATTCTACATGGAAATTGACTGCTAAATGTTCGGGATACAAATTGCTATTGACGAGAATTATTAGTGGCTGCTTTTTCGCTATGACAATTTTTGACTAATTTACTTTTAGAGAGTACAACTCTCTCTCCCATGAATTTTTCGTAGAACAAATGGCTAAATAGTCAGATAGTCAAAGATTTTAAGAGGAAATATCTCGGAACATAGCAGCAAAAAAATGATAAATTAATCTTTTTACTACCCTTAATTTTATAAATTACGATTTTATTGCTAGGACCTCTCAACTAGTCCAAAGTCCCAAAGTAAATAATTCGAATACAGTAAATAAAAACCTGACTTATAATTGTATAAATATTAAAAACAAATCTTTGTTTATGACAGTCTTATTTACACATAATTTCTTGTTACCGTTCTGCGTAATGTTGCTTGTGCATATTCGCGATTGTAAAATATTCTAGGCAATTTACCGCGCACAAGTTAAACAGTTATCAGAAAAAAAATTGCCAGGTTTCAGTATAAATCATAACGTCGACAGTTATGACGATTTATTTTCGCAATGCAAAAAATGGAAATTACCCGTATTTATCAAGGGAAATAAATCCTTCATATGATAGGATATAGGCAATAACAATAAAGTTCTTTTAACAGATTTGTATTTAAAAAATATCTGGACTGCGGCAACGTTGCAAGTTTAGGGGTTTGGTTGGTAAATAGGGAACCAAAATTGGTTGCATTCATTAAAACAAAATAAATAATGTAATTGTGGTTATGTTAAAATTATTGTAGGTTACATTGAACGGTTCTCAAGTTGAGTTGTCAAAATTCGTGGTTAAAAATGCAATTAATTTGGCTTTGGTGGTGCGTAGATGAGTAAAATCATATAAAAAAGTAGTTAAATATAGGTGACTACGGCCCAGGAGAGACAAAGTATTCCTAGCGAATAATAATCTTCGCTTTGAAAAGAATTTATATAAAAGAAATTAAAATTTTATGTGAACACATGTGAATGTTGTCCAATAATTGGACTCCAATGGTGAATGGGTATTTTGTTAAAGCCACTGGACGTTAATACTTGAAGTGGCTTAATAATATTTATAATGTATATATTGTCCAGGACTATTAATAATCAGTAACTTGCAAATTGAAAGAAGAAAAAGTTTCGTGATTATTGCTTATCTTTTTAAAACCAATTGGATGCTATTTTCAAAAACAAGAAAATTAACTACTAGATTTTTCACAAAAAAGTTGAACAGTAAATAATTTTTATTTTTTGTTTTTTTATTTTCCCTTATTTTCTGAAATTTCAAAAAATTTTGATCTGCTTAGCTAAAAATAATGTGTGATTTAATATTTGTAAAACCAAAAACGTTACTTTTTTACTCCAAAAATGTCCATAAGGCGATGTACTTTTTCTGCCATTGAGGCATTTGGCATAACTTCATCGAAATGAAGTTTTGCTCTTAAAAGTTCTTTTACTTTAGAATCTGATATTATTTTTTGCATAGCTTTTTTTAAATCGGCATTATATAATAATTAACAAGTAAAATATCAATAATAAATATTACTGTCAATTTGACAGTGTCAAACACGAGTCCAATTAAAAAGAATTAACTGAAGGTAGACACAAAATCCATTTAACCTTGAACCTAAATAGCAAGAAATTTCACCATCCATAACTTAATATAATTTTCCTAAGAGAGTTATAAAGTTAAAATTAACTTGATTTTAATCTCAGTTAACTTGATTAACCCATTATATATGCCATTAATAACAAACATTCTGCTGTCTTATTTTAATTAGAATTTACATTTTTAAGAAATTCTTATACAAAAGTAGAAAAACACGTTGTTATATCACAATAGTAATTTATTTAATTATATTCGAGTTACATGCAAGTTATCTATGAAAAAATCATTAAAATAAAATTAAACTTTTAGTAATATAGGGTAGTTTTTGTGGGGTGGTGAATCCAGTGCCGTGTTTAAAAAAATCGCTAATATGAATTCTTTAAAATTTACTCTTAAAATCTGACATAGTATGCCTTGTATTTTGTAAAATCTAAACTTTAAAGAAATCCGGTTAAAATCGCACAATAAATAAAGATTTTACAGGGGTGATTCGCAAACAAATGGGTCACACTGTATATTTAATAGACTACCTTTAGACATTAAAAATGGTAAGTCATTTAACATTTTTAAAACGGTTTTAAAGTCATATTTGTTGTCCAAATGTTATTATGCTATAAGTGAATTTCTTTTAGTCCCTGTAAGTTATTCAAACTATTATTATGGGTGATTCTACAAAAATTGGGCAACTTTTGACCTAACTTTGTTTATATAGTTTTCGGAGAAAATTAAACAGTATTTTGTTATGAGAATATAGATAATAAATAAATATACTGTTCCAGACCGAGCCAGTCACTTTTTCAAACAGTTTCTGAAATATCTGTGTTTTCTAAATTTAAATGCAAGGGAAGTGACGAGTATAGCAGGGTACTAATTAAATACATAATTTATTGGAAAATATAAGATTTATTGCAACTTTGAGCATATTATACATTAAATATCTTAAAATCAAATAATACCACACATCAGTGGCGGCTGGTGGATTTTGGGTATACCGATATCTCAATTATTAGATATGGGACCCACACCAAATTTAAATGAGTTTATAATGACATTATATAAATAAGTTCTGCGCAAGCAGAATTTAAATTGAAGTTTGCGAAAAAAAGATAACCGAAAAATCGAACATGGAACTGACGACATGGTATTTTTTTATTAGTGGATGCTACTTATCAACAAATTACACATAGCCTTATATAAATTAGAATGAAATATATATACGTAAAAAAGTAACTACTCACCACAGTACTGAAATTTTGACTGGAATTATACGTGCATTCACCACAACTTTGCCGCTTGCATTGTTTTCAAGATGACTGTCGTGCAAAGGGCGGGCTCTGTAGATAATTTTTTACCAACACTCGAGTTAAAACGAGGACTTGACGTTTAAACTTTTTAACATTGGACACAGAACTGACGGGTAAAAGTGAGTACAAAGATTATCAATTTTTTAAAAATTGCTATTATTCGAATCTATGATAAAATATGAAAAATACATTATTTAATGTTTTATAGTTTGTAGTGAAATTGAAAAATTTAGGATAAATTGAATATATTTTAAGATAAAATCACTCAAATATTTGATTCAGGAGTTGTCACCCTTATGTATACATATGTACCTATTTTTATGTTTGTCTATTTTCAAATGTACCTTGACGTTTTCTACACATGTATATGTCCACTCAAATAAAGCCTATTATTAATATTATTATTATTTATAAATTATAACTATAAAATAAAATTACTGTATGCATCATAAAGTAACACTTTATGAACTAAAGTTTCGGTCAATTTCAAAATTATATTCCCGTTTAAAATTAACGAGCCCCAATAGTATTTAATATGCCGAAAGAGGCAAAGTATGATGTGACATGCATAGTTGCGTCAAACACAAACTTCCCCAAAATTACCGAGACCGATATATGCACAAAGCGGGGGAAAATTAATTCGCCAAAACGTATTTTATGATCGATTTAATCGCTTTTGAGGTATTTTTACCGCAATCTCTGTTTGAAAACTTCGCACCGGGTTTTATCATCAAGGTTAATATCAATTTTCAGTAATACTTTCAAAAGGATTATAATTAATAATTTTTAATTTTTGAACACTTTGGAAAAATACAGGGTGGTTCAGTTTATTTCATCAGGATTTAAGTCAAATAAAATATTTTATGTTTGTACAACTATTATTTTTTGTCACAAGATAAAAATCCTTTTGAAAAATATTGCACAAAATCAATTTTCTACAATTTGTTGAAAAAAGTAATAATAACGTATTAAAAAAGTCTCTAAAGTACTCATTTACTTACACAAATTGTATGCACTGTTAATTTTTTTCTTGTTGTTTTAGGCACTGATGGACCCTAGCAAAGGCTTGATTTTTCAGAACCGTTTCGACAGAAAAATAATCATAGTAGACCCTGACAGCGACCCTGGTAGCAACACGAAGAAAAAACGTATATTTTCGAAAATGTACGAACATGTGGTGCTTTTTGATCATGTTGTTAGACAGAGAATATAAAAGTCACAAAAAAGCATTTTTATTAAAAAAAAATCGCCCCAACTTAACCTTCACAGATTTTGGTTCATGGTTCATCATAAAATCTGAAAAATCATTTAAAAATAGAACTTTTTTATTCGTCTTTAAAAACGCATAACAGAAATAATTAATTTCGTCACTAAAACTATGAAATTAATAATGAATAATGTTTCACAAACATCTATAATGTTGTAAAAGTTGATTGGTTACGAGTTTTTATTGAGCGATAAATATCTTAATCAGTGTCAGTAAATATAGACATAAAAATGAAAAAATTAAATAGACATAAAGATTATAATTTGGCAAGGAATACAAGTCGACATAAATTTTACAAGAAAATGAGTTTTATTCGGAAATAATTCTACAAAGCATTTTTATTTGATTGTATAAATTCTGAGTTTAAAAAAATCTGTTATTTCTTAAATAAATACCGAATTAAAACATACTGTATTTACTCAGGAGCATATTTTTTCTAATAGCAAAAACCTGTTATTTTTTTACTAATAAAATGCACAATATGTTTATTAAAAGAGACTATTTTTCTGCTGTGTAGTAATAATCATAAAAACATATTTTATTTTAAATAACAAAAAGCTGTTGCATCAAAACGCCATATCAGCAAAAATCTTGTTGCCTTGACAGAAATAAGTTTGTCCTGAAAAAGGACTGTCATATAAATCTTTATTTCAGCCAGAAGGAAAACAAAGATACTAAGAAAATAAAGCAAATTAATGCTTCCTATAAAAAATTTAAACACTCAGAAAAATGTACAATTAATAAAATAATATTATTTAACTTAAATTTAAAATTGTAATGGCTATAAAAAATGTACCACAAAAACCTACGATTTGTCAAAGTAATGAGATTATTTTTATTTACAGAATAAAATTTTTTTACTGTTAATAAAATTCTCATTTACTATGTATAATGAAGCAGCAATGTTGAGCTTTTATAAAAAAAAATGTTCATCCAACAAAGTAATAGTTGTTATCATATTGTCATAGCAATAAGAAATACTTTATGTTTATTTTAAATCTTTGTCGAAACTTAAAATGTTTTTGTTAAATCTATAGTTGTGTGTGAATTGCGCTTACATAAAGTAATACGCAGTTGTTATAAATAGTAAAATTTGTTCATTTTACTATGTCATATTTGTCTTTTTGAAATTACTATCGTTGTAATTCAAATTAATTTTATTTCAGTTAGAAAATCTTTGTTAATAACAATAACAAAAATATTTTATTGCTATAAAAAGACTTTTTTAATATTTACTATTGTTTTGCAATGGTAACAAAATTTTTGTTATTTCCCTTAAAAAGAGGGGGGAAGGGCCAGCGCTCTCCTTGGTGAACATAACTTTATAATCCAAAGTTTGTGTTATAATCTTATTAATTTCACTTGTGCGAGTGAAATGTGCTGAAATCTAGCATGATAAAAATATCAAAAATATCACTAAGAAAATTAAAATTTCGACGTTTTCTAAAAGAAATATTTAAGGTATAAACGAAGCAGAATTGTTATTTAAAAAGTGAGTTCATATTTTTTTATTTTGTACATCATATAATATGAGTTAATTTTTTTGATATAATAAAAAATTTGTTTTAATGCTTTGCAATTATTAAAAAAAAACTACCCAACACCCAACAGTAGGTTGACCATTGTTGCAATGAAAATAGTTTATTGAATTAACAATTAATTTGTAGTTAAATTTACATAAATTTTATTAATATTATAAAAAAAGTTTTATTTTAAACGAAAAGGGATTTGTAGAATTTACAAAATTTCTATGAATAATACCATTGGGATTTCATTAACACTATAAAACGTTTTTGTTAACAGTATAGCTACTTTTTTGGACAAATAATAATAACTATATTTATCAATGCGTTTCTGCATATAGAAGAGTGTTATTTTTATTTTTGTTATATTTATTATTCTGTGTGAACAAATATTTAAATTAAATTGTATAGGTTAAAAACTATTAAATGTTAAACAATATTTCTAAATTACACATGTAACAAAAAAAACCTTAATAAATATTTAATTTATTGATTGTAAAACAAAACCTAAAATACTTGACTGATTGGAAATTAAAAATTAAAATCCTTAAGATGGTTAATTTTTATTCTAAATAACGTTTTATAAATCAAAACTACAACACGTATAACGTACATAGATTGACGAGATTCGAAAATGCATTCTACAAAAAAAAAACATTACTTTGTCACAGGTATTGATAGAAAACGTGACCGGGATCCAAGAGCAAAGTTTCAAAAATTTAAACGAATCTTTGCATTTAAACATCTCGCTTGAAAAAATATAAATCTCTTCGATTGGCTTAAATTTTTCATGTTTGTGCTTTTCAGGCCAATATTTGGTGTATAAACCACACAAAACAACATTGGAAATTTTAATTTTGAACGGTGACGGCGACTGAGAAACGTATCGACAAAATGAAATGTTTTATTTAAAAAAAAACACAATATGGGGCAATTTATTTTGCACAACAATCCCAATACTGTTGCAGTATTGAGATTTTTATTAGGATTTCTGAATTTTTATGAATAACGAATAAGTGTCAAAAATAAAGATTATATTATACACAAATTTAATTTAGGCATGAGCGAGTGCTTAAATTAATGAGTGTATAGAAAAGTTTATAAACGAGGAGCATACTATACTTTTTCTACGACAAATACTTATTATTATCTTAAAATGATTTAAATCAAAAATTTGTATAGAGCGCCATCTATGAAACAATAGGGGAATCAGTGTGTCACCGTCAAATGTCACATTTTTACATTTTATAAACACAGATTATAAAGGTTATAAATCGAAATGTATTTCTTGAAAATTGACAGTTTTTCACAGTGAAAGTAAAGAAAATGTTTTATGAGCACTTTACAGTGGAGTCCGTGTCCGAATTTAAGTTATAGTTTACTGCCGGCGAAATTAAAAGGTCAGTACAATGTTCATATAAACTTTTCAAATATTGGCGTTAAGAAACTATTTAATATTTTTGTATTTTTGTATTGAGATAATAAAATAATTTTCACATTTAGTATGATTTTACAAGACTTTATTTTAACGATTGTATGGCATTTGACAACTGTCAACTAACTTAAACCAACTTCAGCCCGTGACTAAAGCGCCATAAAGCCACAACTTGTCAATGTGTATTTAAAAGGTCACTTAGTGTCATGGAAACATGTACGATAAAGGGCGGTTTAAAGGTGGGAGTAGAAAAAATGTATTAGTATAAAATTCGATTAAAAATATCATAGACAAGGTATTAATATGTCTATGGAAAAATACGGATACGTTGTCGATTTTCAGTTAAAATATAATTGTGTTACACATCATAATACGTGTAAATGACAGTATCAATAAGCCATTTTTCAAACTATAAATCGGCATGTATGAAGATTTATTCTGCTTTTGACATTGCAATAATTAACACTAGTTAGTTCAAATAATTTTCTATGGTACTAAAATGGTATATTATAGAAGGTAGTTTATTAATATTGAAAACATAATAAAAATAAGAATATTGAGTTTTTACATTTAAATTTCTATTTCCTTGTTTTAATGAATCCTTTTTCAAATTTATCTCGGTCGTATACAACAACGGTAAAAGCAACAATGAAAAATAACATCAAATAGCATGAATATCCCCGTCTTTTTGCTAGACCTTCTAAAGATATTTTTTGTCATTAAAATTTATACTTTTGTTAAACAAAATTCAAACAAAGAAGGTATTTGCTTAAATTCTCACCTAATAATAATAATTTTTGTAAAAATATTAAAAAATTTTTAGTTAACTATTTTGTAATTTAAAAGACTAATTAATCTGTTTTTTGCAAAACTGCTTAGCAGGCTCATTAGTATCATAAAAAGGTAACTATCGATTTAGCCACTTGCAATTTAATTAAGAGTACATTAATTAATTTTGTAGTATTGTTTTAATTGCTATTCCGCAATGTTAAATTGTCGAAGGCCTCATCAAATAAACACATTAGAAGTTTTATTGAAAATGTGAGAAGATGTCCAAAGAATTTATACGACTTGTCTTTTAAGACCGATAATATATATATGAAGTTGCTTTGAAATGTATTGCATTAAATGTATTTTAAGCGTAATATTTATTTGCTCGATATATAGAAATTCTGAAATGTTGTTCTGCAGTTTGCTAAAGCATTAAAAAAATAAACTTTTCCTTATAGAATACTTTTTGGTAAGACTGTATAAGAGTACTTACTAAAAAGTACTAACGATTAAGTTAAAATTAAGAATTAATTATTATTAATTAATTTAATTTTATATTAAAAATATGTATATAGGGGATTCTACAAAAGTTGGGCAACTTTGTTATGAGAACATAGATAATATAATAAATATACTGTTCCAGACCGGGCCAGTCACTTTTTCAAACAGTTTCTGAAATATCTGTGTTTTCTAAATTTGAATGCAAGGGAAGTGACGAGTATACCAGAGTACTAATTAAATACATAATTTATTGGAAAATATAAGATTTATTGCAACTTTGAGCATATTATACATTAAATATCTTAAAATCAAATAATACCACACATCAGTGGCGGCTGGTGGATTTTGGGTATACCGATATCTCAATTATTAGATATGGGACCCACACCAAATTTATATGAGTTTATAATGACATTAAATAAACAAGTTCTGCGCAAGCAGAATTTAAATTGAAGTTTGCGAAAAAAAAATTACCGAAACATCGAACATGGAACTGACGACACGGTACTGATGAATGGGATACAAATTTGAGATTATATTTCGGATTTAAGTATTTTACTGATATTTTTTATTAGTGGATGCTACTTATCAACAAATCACATATAGCCTTATAACACTTGAGTTAAAACGAGGACTTGACGTTTAAACTTCAATATTTCGCAGGAATTTTGAATTTTACCATTGGACACAGAACTGACGGGTAAAAGTGAGTACAAAGGTTAT